ACAGAATAGAAGTCTATTCAACAGTGTAACGTGCGTCAGAAACCAAGGAATATTGAAGTTCTTTTTTTGGCCGATGCATTAACAGATAACAACACGGTGAAATAGAGAGTGACAAACATCCAGACGACATGAGACCAAGAAACGTCACTGGTTTGACCGACTGTTTTTAACCGGCTGGAAGTTCGTTAACTGTTTGACAAGTTTTACCAAACTCAGTGATGTGGTAAATTATTATTAAAGTTCACAAAAGAATTTTAGGGGAGAAATCAGTGGAGAAAGTGAAAGAACAATAGGAAGAAGAAGGAGAAAAGAACTGTTTATGATCAGGATTCCACAGGATCAGGATGTGACCTCGCTCCACGTCAGTCGTCAGTAAAGGGCTGTGTTGTACATTTTGAACCATGTTTTCTGGAGTTCATTCGAGGACCCACCACTAATCAAACAAATATATGTGTTTACACATCAAGCTAATGTCTTCTGCTAATGTTAGCAACGCGATGCATTTTTAACATTCCAAATGCAGACTGTGATTGATTGGACCGCCTGCAGTCCAGATCTGGTTCTGATTGAAAATACCTGACGTATCGTGATGACCAGAATCACAACTGCCCCGATCGACCATCAGAATCTGAGGGTGTTTACACCGTCACAGCAGCACTCAGGCCAAATGAAGTAAAAGTAAAGTGCTACTCTCTGTTGATCCCTTTTTTTTTTTTTTTTTTTTTTACAGGTTTCAGTGTCTCAGATAAAGTCAACCTAATGTGGTTAAATGAGATAACACTGGTCGATTTAAATATACAACACCGTCGGCCTTGAGTTTTTACGGTGGTCCATCACACCATTAAGAACTGTAACAGGATATTAAACGCTCAGTCTGAAGCTTTTTGCCGAGGACCACGTTTCAATCGCGTTCCCTTCGGTGTAATCCAATCTCAGCCTGAAGTGCAGTTTTTCAGCAGCCAGCTCGTCCACACATAAAATAGTTAAATGGACACAAAGATACACTTGAGAATGGCTATAATTTCATTGTGTGTGTGTGTGTGTGTGTGCAGCAGAGACACAGGGGGGAGGGAGAGGAGGGAGATGAGGGGGGAAGACCACACTGTTGACCACTGATGAAATAAACATTTTGGTGCAATGAGACTCAAATAATGTTGTTCATAATCTTTCTGTAATCACAGCTTGGCTTTCTGTTGACGTTGTAGAATTTTAAACGTCTGAAATGATCGTATTAGACGAATGAGTGGGTCAACAAAAGGTTTTGAATGCCCCTAGTGGCAGAGGGAGGGGGTGTGTGTGGGGTGGGGGGGTATCTTGAGTTTAAAAGACCAACATCCCCATAACACTGGATGACAATAAAATAAAAAAACTTGAAGCTGGAACTTGAGCTGCACTGTGCTGAACATGGTGGTACAAACTGTAACTCAGGGCTCAGAACACTGACCTGGGCCACACGCTGTTAAATATGATCCATGGAAGAATCAAAGGGGGCATTATAAAAGGACGGCAGGGGAAGGAGCAGTATATGCTGGGATGTCAATGTATGGGCGTCGTTACACTGTGATATAGGAGTCGCATTAAAGTGCATATTTTTGGACAGCAAACTATGTCAGTGCCAAAATCCAAGAACGGTCGGCAATAAGAGAAATTTATACTATATTCACCTTCTGATTTTATATTCAGGATGAAGAACGAAGCCTCAGGTTAGGAAATTCACCCTGTCTCACCCACGCTACCACTCACCCTGAACTGACCTCTAACCTTTGACCCGGACCCTAAATCCATCTGAAGTCTTCAGTGCTTTATTGTCATTGTCGCAGCAACAACATCATCTGAAGTCTTCAGTGCAGTATTCGTCAAATGAAGGCGAATACTTTATTGTCATTGTCGCAGCAACAACAACGTAGCATAGCATCACCTGAAGGCAGGAATCCTACGTAGATATCCTAAATCCTAAATTAAATAAA